TAGATGGACCAACCGCCCCTCCCCCCCCCGGTCCGCTCGTCGATATATGAAACTAGCCGCGGAAGGCCCCGAGGAATCGTCCTCAGGGAACAATTCCGAGGATGAGTGGAACGAAGGTGGGAAATTCCTCGGATGACTCCAAGATTTTTTCCTCGGGGCCCGAGGACGCCCCGAGGAATGTCGAACGAGCCCCCATACCATGGAGTTAAAAAAAAAAAAAAAGGCACAACCATACACGATACATGAGTCTTTTTCTGAAGGTTTCACTCCCTCTACGGTATGTGCTCTGCTAAAATTACCCACAACTTGTCTCTTGGGCCAAACATAACCTGTACCCGTCATTTTGCCAGTAAGGCAAAATTCTGTTGCTGGGGGTCCAGGATCCCTAGGCCACCCTGCTCTCTAGGACATGCAACGGTCAAGCCTTTTTTTTTTTTTTTTTTTTGAGCTGCGGTCAATACCTTTGGTTTTTTTTTTTTTTTTTTTTTTTTTCAAATCCAGGCCCAGTGCCCAAGGCTGATATTCACAATCAGAAGATTGAGGCCAGGGAACTCACAGTCTACCCGAAGTGACTGAACAGAACATGCTGCGAACCGGGCTCAGCGTCCCTCATATGATGATGGTAATGATGATGGCCTTCTAATGATTCTATGAACAATGTGCGATGCAGATAATGATGCTAGTATGTAAAAAAATATAGAAGACTATGCAATATCAGCAATTTTGGCCTTCTAATCTTAGAACAACACCTAACCCTCCCTGTACCAGGACATTTACATTTCAGAGACAATGCCATCCTAGCCAACATCAGCCATAGCTATCCTGTTCTCACCACGTAGACTAAACCAGGACCCATAGGTTGCCATGGCAGCACCCTCCAGTTTGCCACTGGATTGTCTTCCTCCCTCGACTAATCCCCAGATCTTTCTACAAGGCCTCACACTCCTGCCATTTGCAGGTTACAGGGCAACGCCCCAGCTCCGGTTAGCGTCGTTCTGACATCGGCATACCAGGGGCACAGAACAAAGCAACTATGTAGATTCCAGCCCGGATACGACCATCTCTGAAATCCTATATCTCGAATGAGGCAGAAGGCCAAATGCCGCCAATAATTACAGAAGACCACAAAGCTTGATTTTTTTTTTTACTTTTTTTTTTTTTTTTTTTAAAGACTTGAGGCATACTATATTAGCCAGGGTGATACGAACATCCCTTGCTAATATAGTTGCATGTGTCACTCCATCTATTGGTGGGGAGCTGCACCTGCTGGAAAACGGGTCCAGCGTCCCATTACAATGTAATTGTCCATTTGAGTTGGGCCTCTTCACCAAGCTGTTTGGCGCCATATGTTACACTCTAAACTAGCCCCTCTTTGGAAATACACACTTTGCCTCTATGCCGAGCCATAATGAACACACTTTGTCTCTATGCAGTACCGTATCATGAAGACCATAATGAACACACTTTGTCTCTATGCAGAACCATACCATGAGATAGGAACCATTGTCTGCTGATTAGCAGGAAAGGGGTCAGGGAAATCGGCAACGGTTCTCAAAGGAATCATGGGATCCACTGCAGTTCAATCATTGAAAAATAGCCTGTAGTTCTTGTTGAGAGCGACATCATCACTTGATTGGGCGCCTTCCCAAGCCACCTTACCCATCTTTCCTCCCTGTTCCCCCCCAAGCCAGCCTGAATTAAAAATTTTGATATATTCAAGGATTTTTTTTTTCTGTGAAAGAAACTGAATCTTCTCTTTGGTCAATTCCCACTGAATTCTGATACCAGTTTGTATCTGTTCCTTAATACTCTCGGTGAATTCCTGCCCATCCAGTCTGACTCTCTCCCATTCATGAGTACATCTTCTTCTCCAAATGGCCCAAAGAATTGCTCTTCTACTTAAGATAAACAAATTTTGTGTGAATGCATCATAAGGTATGACAGTCCATTCTTCCAACAGCAAAGGTTTCCATCCCCATGGCCATTTATCAATCACTTCCAACTGAGTCCGTATTCTGTCCCACCATCTCCATAGCCATACTGAGTTAGGACATTGTAGGAAAATATGCTCAATAGTTTCTGCTATGGATCTACTTGGGAAGGCTGATATACAAAATTTACACCAAGGTTTGGCTAAGCCTTTGCTATCCAAAGAGGTTCTGTCTATTATCCAATCATTGGTTGGAAGGTATCTATGTTCAATCTGCCATTGAAGCGAGGCTATTTTTGCAGGCTTAATCTTCTTGTTTTGGAACCATTTGATGTTTCTAAATTCGTTCTTTCCTAGGTTCAGGTGATCCATCCATCTTTGTGTGACTCTGTCTTTGAGATTCATTCTTGGTCTTAACATTCTATATGTTGATTTAACTGTGAGAGTGTGTAATGTTCTTGTGAAGTTCCTCTTACCTTTGCACTGCGATCCCCATTTCCATTCCTGTGGGTCTAGCGGGAGGAATTGAATGGGTGTGCTTGGGCGGAAGGCAAACCAAGAGTTGTTGTCCTGTAAGACCCTGATTCTAAAGAGCTGTTCAGATGTCACTGTACTGACTCCAATTGGGTCACTCAGGGTTAACTCATTATTGATTCTGAGATAAAAAAGGGTGATTAGAATGTCATCATTCCTCTCCATATGAAAGATATTACCAATCACTTGATGATCTTCCTTTAGAATTACCCAGTCATTGATTATGAACCTATGACTCTTTTTAAGGATTAAGGTCCAACTTATTGGGATTCAATCTAAAATCTTATCAAGAGCGGCCTCTGCATGATGACAATATCTGAATTTCTATTGGAGTTTATTATGAGAGATCCAGTCATTGGTAATTGTGTCTCATATGTCCCTTACTCTGATTATACCTTTTCTGATCCAACCTTTCCAAGGTGAGTCTTTGCAATGAAGAGTGCACCCTTGTGAATCCCTGATCCAAATGTTATTGAAAAACGGCTGCCTACTAACCTCCTCCCACCTTTCTGGGGGCACCTTGTCAGTAAGCGGGAGCTTCCTCCATGTTTTAATAAGATTGGGCCAGAAAGGATCTTTAGTAAGATCTGCTCTAGCAGCTTCCTTATTGGATAGGTGGGAATCCTCTGTCATTGTCCTTCTAGCTCGGGGTATAGTCCAGACTCTGTTTTCCAACCATGTCAACAGCTCAACTTCATTGACTGTAGGAGGAGCTAATCTCTTTATCTGTTCCAAAGCTAACCCATTCCATGGAGTCCGAGGATTAAATAACAATCTTTTAATCCATTGAATAGACAGGGTCATAGCCTGGAGGGTGGGATCAATGATACCAAGTCCTCCACTCGATTTGGGTTGTATAATAGATGACCATGCCACTCTACTGATCACATTTTTTGTCTCATGGTTGCCCCTCCACAGGAAGACTCTTAATTGTTATTAAAAAACTTTGATTGTTGCCTTGTCTAATGCCCAAATAACTGACTTATACCATATCGATGCTAGAACTACATTATTAATTGCTAGAGATCTTCCAAAAATAGATGTATGCTTATTCTTCCATGTATTTAATTTTGAACAAGCATTTTGCAAAATTCATTCATAGTTTGTTGCAGGCTTTCCTTCTGCTGAGAGATTAATTCCCAATACCCTTACCGGTGTCTCTTTAGATAACCAGGAGATTTTAGGAACTTCTGGGGGTCTAACACCTTGATGATGGATCCACCATCCCAGTGTTTTGTTACCCTAGTTAATCCTCATATCAGAAAGTCTACAAAAACGTTCCATCATATTCCTTAAAGCTTCCAGATTCTCATGGGATGCTTCTATCATGGTAGATAAGTGATCAGCAAAAAGGGAGCAAACAGGGATCGCCTCCTCTGGTATGATAGTAACTTGAATTTTCTTGATGTCCTTGTTCTTACGCAGGTTAGCCGCTAGGGCTTCCATGATTATCACAAAACGAAAATGGGCAATAGAGTTTCCTTGTTTCACTGACCTCTTGAGACTGAATGGAGGGGTCACATTCCCATTTATCATTACCCTAGTAGTGACTTTCTGATGCATTATCTCCACCCATTTTCTAAAACAAGGACCAAAGTTCATTTTTTCAAGGCATTTATCCAGGAATGTCCAATCCACATGATCATACGCTTTTTCAAAATCAATAAAGATAAAAGCCGCATTATGTTTGGATTGTCTAGAGATTTTAATCAATTCATTAACCAGGAGAATATTATCTTGAATGCTGCTTCCTGTTATAAAGCCTGTTTGTGCTGGGTGAATAATATCAGAAATAACGTTAGTTAGTCGAT